ACTGTCACCCTGGGCGGCGGTGTGGGCGCACGTGACCTGCCTCTTTCCCTCCGCAGAGGGCAGAGTGGCCGCCGGGCCGGGTCGGGTCGGGCCGGGTCGCGGGCCCGGCCTCTGCTGTGAGCAGCCCCTCAGGGTCGGGTGAGCGGCCTGCGAGCCGGCAGGGGTCCAGCAGCGTCCAGGGGGGGTCTGACGCCCTCCTCCGGAGACGGACAGGTGGAGGCTGCTTTATGCACCTCAGGAGTGAGGCGGAGGGAGGTCGGAGCTGGACGGGGCGGGACTCGGGCGGCGGCGACACAGAGAAGCCTTTGTGTACTTGCCAGTGGCACTGGTACTTTTTGCAGTTTTGAACCTGTGGGATTCTGCCGGGTTTGTTATGTCTCCTCCGTGTGTCTGGGGACCGGCCCGAACACCCCGTGTGGGCAGCGTGGCCCGGGCGGTGCGGGGGCCCTGTGTGGATGCGCGAGTGAGATTCGGGGGACGGCTTTCCCCGTCCCGTCTCCGGGTGGGAGTCCGGGAGCCGAGTGAGGGTGCCGCCTGGAAAGGGGCCACGTGGAGTGCTCAGCACGTGCTGATAAAGCAGCGTCCACCCTCAGGAACCTGCACTCAGCCTGTCGAGTGAGACACGGGACAGATTAGATGGGCGCGGAGCTGAGCCCGGGGCGGTGTGGCTGATGCCTGGGCGTGAGCAGGCCCGTGGGCCAGCGGGTTGGACGGGGCCGGGCGCCAGCCCCTGTGCGCTCTGGGCCGCGCTGCGCCTGGTCCCCGCCCGTATTTCTGCAGGGAAAGTTTTTCTTATGTCAGTTTCCAGCTTGATCTCATAGGTTTCTCATCTCTGGGTTCGTATTCAAAGTGAAAATGTCACCTCAGCTGCTAATATGTGAGGACCCTTCTGGTTTGACGTTTTTGTTTGGAGGTTTTGCAGAGAGTAGTTTTGAGACATTCGGAAGAGTTTGGATCTGGCGTGAGGAACCTGTGGGTCCCCAGGTCTCTGCACCCTGCGTGCGGCTTGGACAAGTCACCTTCTCAGCTGCTGGGCTCGTCCCAAGGTGGGCGCTCGTTGTCACGGGAGCTTGGAGACTGCCCGAGACGGTGAGGGAAGCTGCCGGCCAGTGACTGGTCCACCCTGGGTGCTCAGAAAAGACGCCACCGTGGAGCGGGGACCGTGCCGAGAGACGGCGTGGCGAGTGTGCCCGGAGCGCGAGCTGGGAGCCCGCCTCAGCGTTGCACAGCCGTCAGTCCCGCAGACCGGTGTTAGACCCGGGACGATGCCTGCGCTTCGATCTCGCCTCCGAGGATGCCATAGTTTCCCTGGTCAATGAATTGTTTCAGATGGGGCAGAGAAAGACCCCAGTGTCTGTGTGTTTCAGTATAGAAACCTTGTACTGGGTAACTGGTGATATAGTTCATTGGCATAAAAAAAATTTCAAAGGATTATAAACATGGAGTATAAGTTACATGGAGTATAAGTTCAGCTCATTCAAACAAAGTCTCCATGGCTGCGTTCTGCCTGATCAGAGACCTTTGGGAAGACAGACGAGAGCTGGTTTCATCCATCGCTTCACCCAGCTCCGAGTTAAAAGCCCGCTGTTCCGGGTGGTAACACCGGCGGCAGTTTGCATTGCGGACGGTTTCGATGCCCAGGCCTTGTTCCAGATGTAGAGTCTTGATAGTGTCCCCACAGCCCAGGGCGGAGCAGCTACCTGGCGCAGGCGAAGCCGTGGGTGTGAGAGGTTGGGTGCGAGTGGGGTGCTTTTGCTCAAGTTCACAGGTAAGGGGATGGGCTGGGTTTCAAGTGCCAGCTGCTTGCAGAGAAGGCTCGAGGCCCCACCCAGTCGGCAGACGCCACCCACTCCCGTGGGAACTAGGCTGTGACGGGACCTTCCCGGGTGGCAGCCTGAGGCCTAGGTCACCCTCCTGAGAACGAAGTGTGAGCTCCCTAGAGTGAGAGCCTCAGAGCCGTCTGGCGGCCAGAGTTTCTCATCCTTGCTCTGCATTCTGAGTCCTTCCACGATCAGCTTGAATAAGCAGTTTGCTTTTAATAAAAGTTGTCGTCTCACCACAGCCCGGAGAGGGCAGACCCCCACCCACCCTTGGCAGACGCCTCCGCCCTGGCTCAGTGTGGTCGGTGCTGCCCCAGNAGGGGGCTCGCCCCAGCCGCCCAGCCAGCAGGCGTCCTGAGTGGGCTCTTCTCCCGCCCCCCTGCCGGCCACGGTACCGGCACCGAGGGACCGACGCCCAGACGGCCACACCAGGCCCCTGGCCTCCTGCTGGCTTCCTGCCCCCTCCGCCCCGGCCCCTGAGGCAGGTGTCTGTTGAAGAGAAAACAAACTATTTCAAAATAGAGAAAACTCTCTATTTTGCAGAGAGTAGTTTTGAGACATTCGGAAGAGTTTGGATCTGGCGTGAGGAACCTGTGGGTCCCCAGGTCTCTGCACCCTGCGTGCGGCTTGGACAAGTCACCTTCTCAGCTGCTGGGCTCGTCCCAAGGTGGGCGCTCGTTGTCACGGGAGCTTGGAGACTGCCCGAGACGGTGAGGGAAGCTGCCGGCCAGTGACTGGTCCACCCTGGGTGCTCAGAAAAGACGCCACCGTGNGCACTCAGCCTGTCGAGTGAGACACGGGACAGATTAGATGGGCGCGGAGCTGAGCCCGGGGCGGTGTGGCTGATGCCTGGGCGTGAGCAGGCCCGTGGGCCAGCGGGTTGGACGGGGCCGGGCGCCAGCCCCTGTGCGCTCTGGGCCGCGCTGCGCCTGGTCCCCGCCTGTATTTCTGCAGGGAAAGTTTTTCTTATGTCAGTTTCCAGCTTGATCTCATAGGTTTCTCATCTCTGGGTTCGTATTCAAAGTGAAAATGTCACCTCAGCTGCTAATATGTGAGGACCCTTCTGGTTTGACGTTTTTGTTTGGAGGTTTTGCAGAGAGTAGTTTTGAGACATTCGGAAGAGTTTGGATCTGGCGTGAGGAACCTGTGGGTCCCCAGGTCTCTGCACCCTGCGTGCGGCTTGGACAAGTCACCTTCTCAGCTGCTGGGCTCGTCCCAAGGTGGGCGCTCGTTGTCACGGGAGCTTGGAGACTGCCCGAGACGGTGAGGGAAGCTGCCGGCCAGTGACTGGTCCACCCTGGGTGCTCAGAAAAGACGCCACCGTGGAGCGGGGACCGTGCCGAGAGCCGGAGCCCTCGGTGACTGGCGGTGAGGCCGGCGCAGGAAACGCCTCTCCTCTGCCCTCGTAGGCCGTCGTGGGGCCTGCAGATTAACCGGCAGAGGCCAGATTCCCCGAGGAAGTCATACAGGTCTCATTGCTGTGGGCATTTCTGCGCCCACGGGGCCCCCTGGGACAGAGGTGAAAACCGAAAGTTCTGCCACCCGTGGGCGCCTAAGGCCTCGGGCGCTGCTGCGCCCACTCGTCCCGTTCGCGCCTCTCTCGCCCGCCCCGGGCCTGTCGACGTCGCAGGCGCTGGGTTTCTGTTGCGCAGCCAGGGCTCTGCGGCTCCGCGGGGCTCGGAGCCTCCTGAGGGCGCTGCGCCCGCCGCTCTGGGCTCCGGGAGGAAGGCGCGTGCCAGGGGCCGGGAGCGATTCAGCCGCCGTGAACGGCCGTGAACGGTGTGCTCGCGGGGAGTCGTCCGTCCCACTGTGCGACCGTCAACCGTCCTGCACTCAGCTCCGTGAGACGTGCGCCCTGTGCTTGCTGAGCCTGAGAGACCCTGACCTCAGTCATCGAGGGTGGAACCGGCCGTGACGCCGTGTCTGTCGGTTTGACAGTGTCCGTTTTGTGTGTCACAGCAGCACATGCTTCAGATATGCAAGTAATGTTTCTTTCTGTTTTATCTTTTAGATACTGCTGTATGGAGATTTGCCAAAAAATAAAGAAAATGTAATATATTTAGCAAATCATCAAAGCACAGGTTTGTATTTCATTTGCATGAATCTTAGATTTTTGTACAGAAAATATGTGGGCATTCAAAGTATTGTTCTTATATATTTAAATGAAAATGTTTTTGTTATTGTTGAAACATGAGTTTTCAATGCAGATAATTATACTTGACCTTGTATTTTTGTGATTTTACTATGAATTTCCCTCCTTTACTTTTTCCCCCTGATGGGTGTAAATCAGCTATTTTCTTTCTTCCTTGGACTAGCCCTGAACCAGTCGGTGCGCTCTTCCTTTCGTAGGCTGTGTTCCGGAAGGGGCCGGTGGGCTGCCGTGCCCAGCGTGTGTATTTGATTGTACGCTGCAGGAAGGCTGTGCCCCGTGCGAGTCGCCTCCTGGGCGCAGCGCGAATTGCCAGGGTGGGAGGTTCCTTTGGCCTCTCCAAGTGCTTGGGTCTAATACGGCTCGTCCTTCTGCCAGGGGAGCCGGAGGCTGTGCCTGTGATAAAGTGCAGGGCGCGCTTTAAATGGGCCACGGTGGCCCGGCCGGGCGCGGCTCCACGGTTGAGCGTCGACCTGGGATCCCGACGATCGGGGTTCGATTCCCAGTCGGGGCACATGCCCGGGTGTGGGCTCGATCAATGCCTCTCATCATTGATGTTTCCATCGCTCTCTCTCCCTCTTCTTTCCTCTCTCGGAAATCAATAAAGATATATTTTTAAAAATAAATAAATAAATAGGCCACGGTGCTCTAAACGTCTCACCTTGTAATGATTGCCGATTTAGAAGGATTTGCAGAAATAACGCACCGAGCTCCACGACCCCTCGCCCCCAGCGGTGACGCCGTGTGTAACCGCACAGCTTCAAAACCGAGAGATTCACTTTGGTTAAATACTTTATAGTTCTCTAAATAATTCCGCTCAAAAAAATTCCACTTCACATTGTTTTCACACCTGGGACTGCTGTTGGTGCCCACTCCCTAAATTTCGCTTTTACTCTAAAAAATACGATGCCCAGAAGTCAAAGCCTAAAAGCGACCTGCCGGGTGCTCCCACCTGAGCAGAAAGGCCCCCGCGCCCGGCCGCCCCCCTCCCTCCGCTGCGGCCCTCACAGCTTAGCTGCTTTTAGCTCTGCCTCGGCCACAGGGGAGGTGAGAAAGGGAAGGGGCTGGAAATGCGTTTTCTTGGTTTAGCTTATTAACGACTACATTCAGTTTTATAGGACAAGGGTTGGCTACCGAGTGTGGATTATTCTCGCTTATCTGTGCGTTTTGCAAACTTCAGCGACATGACTGGCTTGGATGCTGTGATTTCATCCCATTTGCTCGGGCCAAGAGCCCAGCCTGAGATCAGGGCCTGCTTCCGACCCTGGCTGCACAGTGGCCTCCCTTGGTCCTGCATTTCCACTGTTTCTCCAGAGAACTGGGCTTTTTCCCACCAGCACAGCCTTGCGCCCACCCGTTGCCGAAGCATTTCCACCAGGGCTCCCCTGGGGAGAAGGATTGGGGTCCAGGGCAGAAGGGGCTCGTGATGGCCCAGGTTTCCTCTGTAGGGGGCCCCGGCCCATGTGGTTTATAGGATTTTCTTTCTGTTGAGCAGGATCCCTCTTAGAGTTCCTCGCTCAGGTGCCCTGCCACCCCTCCCTGTCCCGGGTTTCCATGGGGACACTGCATTAGGACGGGGGCAGTGGTAAGGACGGTGGTGCTGACCGTGGAGTAGGCCCTCCCCGCGCTCCTGGGTGGGCAGTGCGGGGGTACCATGGCAGTCGCCCGGCCTTGGCGCTTGCACGCGGGCCTCTGTGCGCATCACTAGAGTGAGGACTTCTGGAGGGCGTATGGAGGAAAACAGATTTCTTTCCTTACGCTCACCTGAGCATGTTTTTTCCATCGCTTTTCAGAGAGAGTGGGGGGGGCGTTGACTGGCTGCCTCCCACACGGGCCTCGACCGGGGCCGGGATCGAGCCAGCAGCCGAGGCTCGTGCCCTTGCCTGGAATCAAGCCCGGGACCCTTCAGTTCTCGGGCCAGTGCTCCGACCGCTGAGCCACACCGGCCGGGGCTGAAGAAAACAGATTTTTAAACTTCTCCTTGTGTTTGGAACTGGAAGGTGAATGGGAACCACGAGCTGCACAGCCGCCCACAGCGGCCTGGAGAGGTTGCACTTCTCGGAGCAGAGCGCCCGCCCAGCCCCGGCCCAGCCCTCACCCTCCTCTAAGGCTGCCTTCCTGGGACCAGGCCGCACCGCCAGGCCGTTCGGTCTGAGCAGGATACTTCTTAAACGCCTTTTAAAAACCCATAACTTAGGAATAAAGCTGGGTAGTGATTCTAAGTTACTTTAGACTTGCGGGGTGGGGCAGAAGTAGGTTTACAGTTGTAAGTACACGAAACACAGTTTATTATTAATTATTGTATTATTTTCCATACAAACAACTATATAAACCTATTTTTGCCCCACCCTGTGTGACAGAAGAGCTGGAGCCTTTTCCCATAAAAAAAACAAGGGTCCCCATAAAAATGTGCATGTAGTTTTAGGTTCCGGAGGCCCCTCCGGCGTATCCATGGACTTGGGTCACTGGCCTGTGTGTCAAGTGCCCCTTTCAAACTCTGCGGAGATATCAGGAGTCACGCCGAGGAGCTAGGAACGCGAGGAGCAGGACGGTCCCTGGAGGACCGCTGCCCACGCGGACTCTGGGTCACCTGCCCGGCCAGCCGGAGCGCAGGAGCCTCTGCTCAGCCTGGCCTTTCGAAAGACTGGGATCTTAATGGGCTCTCCCCTCCCTCGTCTTCACTTGAGGTGTCTGTGCTGTCTCCGTGTCTAGTCCGTTACCTTATTTCTCCAGTCAGCACGAATGTAGTGGCTGTAACTCCTTCCTCTTTGCCTCTTTAACTCTGCTTTGGACTCTACTTAGCTCACTAGTCTCAGGAAACGCTCCCTTTCCTCGGTTTGGGTGACGTTTTTCTTCACTGACAACACGTATGGGGAGAGGATTGTCATGAAAAGGCTTGGGCTTCGGGCTCAGAGACCCTGGCGTGTGATAGCCGCAAACTGCGTGACCGCTGAGCCCGAGATACCGGGAAGGGGCGAGGGACACCTGCTGACCCGGGTTTCGGGCGTTTGCACGGCTGGCTCGCGGTCTCTCGGGGCGCCTGGCTCGTGGGGACGTTCACAGCAGGAGTGGTGGTGATGATGGTGATGAAGACGACAGCTGCTGAGGCACAGTGCTGGGTGCCTGCCGGGCAAGCGCAAGCGCCCCCGTGAACCCTCCCAAGTTCAGGGGAACAGTGGCTCTGCTTTGGCTGGGCCGCCGCGGAAGGAGCCCGCATGGCAGCCTTTCTTGCGCGTCTGAACTGCACTGTGCCCGACGCGGTGTAAATGCCCCGTGAAGATGACTTACCTCTCGGCTCTGTCTAGGGTCTCCACCTGAAACCTCGTTGAGGATAAATGGAAAAAGTGAAAAGGGTGTTTGAGGAGCAAAAATTGATGGCGCAGTCCCGGCCGGTGGCTCGGCTGAGCGTCATTCCTGCACCAGAGGGTCCTGGGTTCGATTTTCGGTCAGTGCACATACCTGGGGAGCACGTTCAGTCCTGGTCGGGCGTGTGCGGAAGGCAACCGATTGAGGCTTCTCTCTCTCACCAGTGTCTCTCCCTCTCCCATCTTCTCTAAAAAATCAAAACATACGTTCGAGTGAGGATTGATTTAAAAAAATTTGATGGCACAAAGCTTGTGTCTTGTGACTATTTAAGTTCTTAAATTTTTCCACTAAAATCTTTCAAAAGATTTAGGGCAGGGCCCAGGACGGTTTGTTTCAAACATGACATATGTTTAAAATTTTACACTTTCTCTCAAAAGTGTTTGGAAGGTGCATCCTGGACCATCCCATGACCATGCAGGTTTCAATATAAAATGCATCCTAAGAATTCCCCCAGACTCTGAAAACCGTCGTTGCAGGGAAAGAGGCCGCGTCTTTACCTGGAGTGTCCTGGCTGCGCGTCAGCCGGAGACGTGCACTCAGGTCTCACCCCACTCTGGTGGTTCACATCCGGCTCCAGTGTTTGGTTTCCAAGATGCGATTAGAGAGAAAAACGTTCTCAGTGACTGTGGCTGATGTGAATCGGAGGGAAGCGGAGAGGAGGCGACAGGGACAGCTCCCTGGCTAGGTGTTCCCCGCAGACAGTGCCGGGGTCATTGACTGCAGGCGGGTCTCGGCATCCTCACTGTTTAATATGTTGAATTATATATATAATAATTGGAATTCTTAAGTCATCGTGGGAGAGTTAATTTGCAGATGATAAAAAGATTAAAAAGAGAACTTATGACAGTTGAAACACTGTTTCCAAAAGGACAACGTTTAGTGCTTCAGTCGGCTGCTCTCCGGGCTCTTCTGTCCCGGATGGCGCGTTGCCTGCAGGCCCCACAGCCGAGGGCTAGTCAGCCTGTAATTATGGAAACCCCCCTTGGTTACAGCTGTAAGTTCCTTCGTAGATGCTAGAGAAGGGTCCCTTGCATTTGGTTTTATCATTTTCACTCTTCTCAGGAGGTAGGGAAGTCTGCAGCCACTTAGGGTCGGCAAGACCTTTGCCACTTGCCCCGTGTCATTCATTTCCTCTCGGTCGGTTACCGGCCTCTGCGCACTGCGCCGGGTCCTGTTTCTTGCCCAGGGCGAGTCCCTGTTCAAAATGCCTCTGAAAGATCAATTAACAATTCTTTCTGCAAGTTTTTGTTGGTACAGACTCACCCGTGCCTCCTCATTTTTCCTCCAGGGCCCGTTCGTGGCACCGCGTCTGTTAACTAGGGATCCTGGCCGCCTGGGCCACGCCCTTTGGTGTCACGCGTCTGCCGGGCGCGATGAAAGCCGTGCGGCTCTCCTAACCCAGCGCTGTGTCCCCAGACCCTTGGTACAGTGTCCCTGCCTTTTGCTGAACATACTGGTATATTCAGAATACTTGACTGTAGCGGGCAGTGCCGTGTGCCCGTTACCCTGCTGCCACTTTGCCAGGCTTCTAAGCTCAGAGTTAGAGGCGGCCCCTGGCCCTGCCTCTGCACTGCTCCGGCACTTTGTAGCCTGTGCATTTTGCTCACAAAATAAAAGCCTTTCAAGAAATGTAAAACAAAACAACCCTAAACTACAAAAACAAATTTAAAAACACAGAATTTATATTTTTTAAATGTCTCGTGTTAATTTAAAGTAGTTTTAAAGTTCTGATCGTAACGTTCTCCGGGCATATTCCTCACGCTGTGAGGAGCCGCTCGCCGCTGGGGGGCTGGCAGGCGGCGGGCGGTGGCCCTAACCCGCTCTGTCTTGCAGTGGACTGGATCATCGCCGACATGCTGGCCGTCCGGCAGGGCGCCCTCGGGCACGTGCGCTACGTGCTGAAGGACGGGTTGAAGTGGCTTCCGCTGTATGGGTGTTACTTCTCTCAGGTAACGGCTTTTACGTGCTTTTTAAAAAATATATATGTAGCTTATAAAAAGTTTAGATTTCAAATTGAACATACACTTAATATAAATGCACAGGTCGGGGGTGGTTATTTTTATGAGTTTAATAGCTTTTTCTAAATTGAAACAATTTTATTTTGGGTTTCTAATGGTATATATTTCTATACTTATCTGAATACCTAGATAGTTAAATTAAGTCACAAAAATACAAATGTACAAAAATCAAACAAATAGGAAAATTTAATGGCATAGAATTTGATAAACAATTACCTTCAGAAGCTAATAATGAAAGTAATTATGGACTGTAGGCTATAAGAAAGTAGTTTTATATGTAAAGTACTTAGCAGGAGTGCCAAGTACATAATAAATATTCAATATATATTATTTTCCAAAATGCCCTTTAACATTGCGTGGTAACTGCCCGGCCGTGTGGCTCAGTGGTTAAGCATCAGCCCATGAACCAGGAGATCACAGTTCGATTCCCGGTCAGGGCACAGGCCCAGGTTGTGGGCTCGACGCCCAGTGAGGGGCGTGCAGGAGGCAGCCACTCAGTGACTCTCATCATTGATGTTTCTCTCTCCCTTCCTCTCTCTGAAATCAATTTAAGATAAAAATTACATAGTAACCTTCGGGTCATGAAACTCTGTATAACAGGGTTTTGTTTTAATATTCAGAAGGGTTTGGGGGCAGGGGTGTGTGGGAAATAACTGTACCTTACTCAATTTCGCAGTTAATTTTTTGGTGTTTTAATGTTTTTATTTTTTTATTTTAGAGAGAGAGAGAGAAACAGCGACTTGTTGTTCCACTTGTTTACGCATCATTGGTTGATTCTTGTATGTGCCCTGACTGGGGGGTCAAACCCGCAACCTTGGTATATTGGGGTGACACTCTGAACAACTGAGCTGCCTGACCAGGTCTGCAGTTAACTTTAAACTGTGAAAAACCGCCCGTATTTAGAAAGGGATTGCTAGCATTTTCCTATGTCTTTTCTGAATAAATTATCTGATACTTAATTTTTTAAGTATAAAGTATAAAATTTGTATGGCAGGCATGCTTGTTCATAAGACTTTAATAGTAGGTTAAAGAAGAAAAGCTAACGTTACAGTTGGAGCTGTGAAAACAGGTAGATTGGAAAGCAGCCGCCCTGACCTCGGGTGCGGCCCGGCCCGCGTGCGGCGTGTTGCAGTCGGGCCTCCCCCACTCTCACTTCCTCTCCCCTCATCTCTGGTGCTTTAAAGGAAGGTCGGATTCTTACATATTTTGATGAAAAGTATTTTACGCTGCTGGGTGCATATAAAAAATGAAATAGATTGCCAAGAGGTGGACTTGATGCCAGGAAGTGAATTTTTCCTTTAAAAGGACTTGTTTTTCACAATTTGTATGAAGCAGAAATAATGCAACTCACAAATACTTACTTACAAGCAAAATATGAGGAAACAAACTTTCACATTTTGGATTTCCTGTAATTATTATAAATACTAAATATTTCATATGTATAGAAAAATACTATTAATATGATATAAATATCTAGAAAACTAAATGTTTCCGAACTGCCAGCTTGGGGACATTGCAGTTTAACTTCAGAATAGGGAACAGAGTTCAGTTTGCCTCACGCTGGCCCTCCCCCCCCCCAGGCAGTGGCAGGCGCCCTGGGAGTCTTACTGTTGTGTTAATTTTTTTTGAAAGTGCAGTCGAGAGCTTTTGCTAATCTGAGCCTGTGAAGATAACGAGATGTTTATTATTTCTTCCTTCATTTTCTTAAACATGAAAGTCACCATTATACTTCATTAATATTAAAAACAGAGTATTTTGGACTTCATTGGTCCTTCCTATAAAATGATGAACAGACCTCTAAAGTTTAAATGATTTTATGGCAAATACAACCCCTTGATAATCGCGGCCAGTTGAGGAAGGCTCAGAGTTTAGACTCAGCACAGGAAGGACCTGTGGTGTGTGTGAGACCTGCCTGAGTTGCAGGAGCAGGAGTCCCGGAGGTAACGGTTTTTGGAGGGAGGAATATTTAGAGGTAGATTCTGCTTTGGAACGCCGACGCAGCAGAAGGCGGGCGCCTTCGAGAATAAAGACACTTTGCACCTGAAGTTCCCAGTCTCCATTTCTATTAACTAGGATCCTTTCTCTCTCAGCCCAAGACAGGCTCGGTTCTCCAAAAAAAAAAAGAATTGCCGTTTTATGAAATAGTTGAAGACCAGCCTTAAACATTCAGAGCCCCTAGAAGGATGCTTAACTTGGGGGGTTGGCAGGATTCTGACCGTGTCAGGAGTGTCTGCAAAGAGTAAGCTGGGGGTCTTGGATGCTTTTTTTAGAACATAAAAGTCCCCTGATCCACCTTAGAAGTGTTTCAGTCTGTCCATTTTACCAGCTTCAGATCAAACTAAACATCTTAGGTTCATTCTCCAGATTCCTAAAATCCTAAAGCTGATTGGGCTTCAGCCAGGGTTGCTTTGTAGCCTGATTTGTGCCTTACTGGCCGCAAAGTGTGACATCCAGGGCCTGCGAATTTTACCTGTTTTGGCTGAGCAGACTCGCCCGCTCCCTTCCCTGGAGAGCGGCTGGAGCCGGTGGGCCTGTCGCCGCCTCCGCCTCCTGGGGCCTGGGCTGAATTCTGACGGAGGTGCCGCGACTGCCTGCGGCCACGGACACGCCGGGTTGGCTTCTCCTGCCTGAGTATGGCCAGGCCCCTCGCCTGCCCAACACTGTGCTTTCCGGCTGCGTCGCGTCCCAGCCCCTTGCCTGTCGTCAGGGTCCACCTGACCCCCCGTCGCCCGCCTTCCTGTCCCTGAGCTGCTCTCCCCGCGTCCTCCTTGGGCTGTCCCCTCAGCCACCCGTCGGTGTCCTGGAGGCGAGTGGAGACGTCACCATGAAGCCCCCCTGCGCCGGCCAGTTACACGCCCTCCTCCTCCCGCGCCTCCTCGGGTTTGTCTTCACTGGGACACTTGCCAGATTCTCTCTGGTCATGCTTGTGTCACGTGTCACTTCCCCTCTGCTCAGTGAGTCTGCGAGAGAACGGTGCCTGGTCTGCACTCCAGCACCTTGCAGATGCTTTTGAATTAAAATAGGCTTTGATAAGTGAGCTGAGTGACGGGAGAGGTGCGGCGTGGAGGGTAGGCCTGCTGTCCCGGGAGCCGGGGAAGTGTACGCGGCCGTGGGCGCCTCCCGTGGCCTTCACTCTCGCGGGACTCTCAGCGCCCTGTGTCCTGGAAAACAGCGGCTCGCGTTCTGCGGGCCCTCGGCGCTGCTCTGCACCCGAGGCCAGCGTGTGGGCCGAGCCGCGGCCTCGGCGGTGGAGGCCCTGCTTCCCCGCTTCTCTGCGTATCCTCACGCTCATTCTCCATCAAGGCGAAAGCAGACCAGCCAGTCCCTTATTTTACAGATGAGTCCAACTCAGCCAAGAGGAAGGCAAAGAAAATGGTGCTGGTGCAGTTTGGAGGAGGTGCTGTGACGGAGCGAATCCCAGGCTGCCTGAGCTCTGCGGCTGCCACACGGATGCCACAGCGGGCACCTGGAGGCAGGAGTGCCGTCAGGGTGCTGGCGCGTCCGTCTCCTTGAGGCCTCGCCCACCTCCTCCGCGTCTTCACCTCATTAGGGCACCCGCCTGTCGGGTTAGGGCCACATTTAACCTGCGTTTCTTCCCTGGAGGTCCCGTCTCCAAAGACCATCAGGCTGCACGTTGGGACTTCAGCCTGAGAATTCAGGGGAACACAGTTCAGTCCACAACAGTGGGTTAGTTTTTAACAACCCTAAAGATCATAAATGTTCACATTTTAAGGACACTTTGAAGTGATTTTATAATTTTTGAAAAAATTGAGAACTAAGATCCATCTGTGATTGACTTTTTTATTTTAAAAATGTATTTTTAAGAAAGCATTTTTAAAAATATGTTTCATTGATTTTTTTTTTTTAGAGGTGAAGGAAGGGAGAGGGAAAGAGAGACCGATGAGAGAGAAACGTCCATCGGTCGCCTTCCGCATGATCGGGGAGACGTGGGCATGTGCCCTGACCGGGACTCAGACCAGCCGCCTCTCTGTGGGGGACGGTGCTCCAGCCGACTGAGCCACACCAGCCGGGCAGGAAAGAAGCATGTTTACTTTAACTGCCAACCGAGCTGAATGTTCACGCACTTTCCAGGGCAATGTGCAGTTTTATTTGAATTACGTTGCAGCATAGTGAAGTTGTCAGCGAATGTTCTTTAGGTGTAAATATTTGAATGTAGTAAACAGTTTAATTCCTAAAATGTCGATTTGCTCCTCAGTCTTTGGGGGTAGAGTGTTTCTGGCAGGTGTTCTGATGATGATGTTTCTGCTGTTCGGCAGCATGGAGGGATCTACGTCAAGAGGAGCGCCCGGTTTAAGGAGGAGGAAATTCAGAGGAAGCTGCTGAGCTACGTGAGCGCGGGGACCCCGGTAAGGCCG